ATCAATTTACATATTTTATCTGAATTAGACATCTCTTCACTATCATCTTCCCATATTGTATTTTTTAATTGTTTAAAATTTTTACAAATATACACTCATTTAATACAACATTACCATTCAGTCATGCCATACTGTTAATATCTCTCAAAATAAACAACGGTTTTCAACGAGGAATCAGTTTGTTATATTTGCCAGAAACCACAAAACTACACCACATTACCAAAAGTATGTGCACACCTGCTCGTCGAACATCTAATTCCAAAATCATGGGCATTAATATGTAGTTGGTTCCCCCTTTGCTGCTACAACAGCCTCCACTCTTCTGAGAAGGCTTTCAACTAGATGTTGGAACATTGCTGCGGGGACTTGCTTCCATTCAGCCACAAGAGCATTAGTGAGGTCGGGCGCTGTTGTTGGGCAATTAGGCCTGGCTCACAGTCGGCGTTCCAATTCATCCCAAAGGTGTTCAATGGGGTTGAGGTCAGGGCTCTGTGCAGGCCAGTCAAGTTCTTTCACACCAAATTCTACAAACCATTTCTGTATGGACCTCGTTTTTGCACGGGGGCATTGTCATGCTGAAACAGGAAAGGGCCTTCCCCAAACTGTTGCCACAAAGTTGGAAGCACAGAATCGTCTAAAATGTCATTGTATGCTGTAGCATTAAGATGTTTCCACTTCACAATAACAGCACTTACAGTTGACCCGGAGCAGCTCGAGCAGGCCAGAAATTTGACGAACTGACTTGTTGGAAAGGTGGCATCCTATAACGGTGCCACGTTGGAAGTCACTGAGCTCTTCAGTAAGGCCATTCTATTGCCAATGTTTGTCTATGGAGATTGCATGTGTGCTGTGCTCGATTTTATACACCTGTCAGCAACAGGTGTGGCTGAAATAGCCAAATCCACTAATTTGAAGGGGTGTCCACATACTTTTGTATATATAGTGTATGTTTGACTAATTGAATGACTATGAAAAATAACTGGTAAAACATATCACAAGCTTCCAACAAAATGTGCCTCTACATTAATAATAGAGTGAATGAGAAAATAAAAGAGAAATATGTACAAGATGAACTTTCAGAGGGAAAACTAGTTTGATTATTCTTGACAACACATGTATGTGTATGAAGATGACAAAAGAGTTTGAATTTATTCATGGTTTATTATCACTCCACATAATATCCTATGTGTACCAGGGTTGGGGTCAATTCCATTTCAATTCAGTCAATACTTTTAAATGGAATTGACCCCAACCCTGACATGCACTGTATTTATGTATGTATGACATGCATCTAGTGATCTGTGATTGGGGTAATACTAGCCTTGACAAACGCACAGGGTGGGTTCCCTTTATAAAAGAGAACAACCTTCACTGGATCTCTACTCAACTAATGGGGACAGGGAGGATATTTATAACAACTTAAAGACCTACTCCAGCTATTTTGGAACTTTTCCAATTGAAAAACGATATCCCACTTTGATGATGATAATGATGATCCACGTTCTTGTCCGGTGGAACAGTATATCAAATAAATATATGTGACAGTGTTTCCTACAGTCTACCTGCCCAATGGACCTTACACACTACCAAAATGGGATCTGAGGCAGAGGAGAGTGATGGACAAGTAACAACACTGACACATAATAACTATGACCACTAGGTGACACTGTTACTGTGTTTAATATAATAGCCTAGACTGTTCTCTTCGTGACCTCCAAGGAAAGTGTCATAGTAAGGTGGGAGGATTTAAACAACATGATGATAATGTATGCATATAACTTTATCTTATTCCTACATTCAAACATCACACACGTAAAAAGAAAACATTGACCTAATGATTTGAAATTATTTTACAATACTTGAAATATTAAAATAAAGCATATTGTCAAGATTAAACAGGGGGTGAAATCATACATTTGAAATTAACAAAAACATAAACGATGGTGCCAACGTGGACAAACATGGCCAGGGTTGAGAAGTCAGTGTTTTACGGATGACATTTGATAGTGTGTAGTGTGTTCTAGAATTCTGAACCATTACAGACTGGCTTGGGGAGTTAGTGAGGATGTGAAACAAAGAAGAGATAGGTCCCTCGCTACCACCAAGTACCTGGGCTATAGAGTAGGGCCCATTGAGAGTTAATGACTCCGCAACTAAAGACCAAAATGCATTTTGTTAAGGAGGGTTGTATTTATAGTTTTTCTCCCATTGACGACTGAATGTCAGTCTATTCTGTGCCCTTCCCATCATTGCAGGTAATCGCTCCACAACCAAACCACTATAGCAGGTCAGTCACAACCCGGTCACAACCCTTTTACACCAGCTCAAAGTGAGCGCAGCTAACAAGTCAGGCTCATGACTGCTCTATTGTGTGTTAATCAACCCCCCTTTATAATCAACCCGTCTGTGGTAAAAAAAAAAGTTACAGCGAGAGACCTCAAAGAATGATTACAAAGGTAAAAAGGTGAAATCAACTCAGAGCGTTAATGACAAGTATTAAAGAAGCTATGGCTGTGGTGTTCTATCTGAAAGGGGAACCCCAGTGTGGGCTAATAGCAGCAGTTATGTTGCTATCACCTCCATTCACCTCTATTCCCTTTGTGCCACTAAGAGCAGATGGAATTAACCTGTCGTGGCCACGTCAAAACCTCTAGCTCCTTGACTTGTGTTAGAGTCAGAAGCGAGCGGAGAGAGGAGGTGAGAGAGAGAGTGGAGAGAGGAGGAGAGAATGAGATCACTGAAAGAGAGGGGGTTGAAGATGGGAGAGAGGAACAGAGGGATAGAAAGGGGGCGAAAGATGAAGAGAGAGAAAAACAGAGGAGATGGAGAGACAAAGAGAAAAGGGAGAGAGATAGGTGAGATATACACTACCGGTCAAAAGTTTTAGAACACCTACTCATTCAAGGGTTTTTCTTAATTTTTTACTATTTTCTACATTGTAGAATAATAGTGAAGACATTAAAACTCTGAAATAACACATATGGAATCATGTAGTAACCAAAAAAGTGTTAAACAAATCAAAATATATTGTATATTTGAGATTCTTCAAATAGCCACCCTTTGCCTTGATGACAGCTTTGCACACTCTTGGCATTCTCTCAACCAGCTTCACCTGGAATGCTTTTCCAACAGTCTTAAATGAGTTCCCACATATGCTGAGCACTTGTTGGCTGCTTTTCCTTCACTCTGCGGTCCGACTCATCCAAAACCATCTCAATTTGGTTGAGGTCGGGGGATTGTGGAGGCCAGGTCATCTGACGCAGCACTCCATCACTCTCCTTCTTGGTAAAATAGCCCTTACACAGCCTGGAGGTGTGTTGGGTCATTGTCCTGTTGAAAAACAAATTATAGTCCCACTAAGCCCAAACCAGATGTGATGGCATATCGATGCAGAATGCTGTGGTAGCCATGCTGGTTAAGTGTGCCTTGAATTCTAAATAAATCACAGACAGTGTCACCAGCAAAGCACCCCCACACCATAACACCTCCTCCTCCATGCTTTACGGTGGGAAATACACATGCAGAGATAATCCGTTCACCCACACAAAGACTCGGCGGTTGGAACCAAAAATCCCCAATTTGGACTCCAGACCAAAGGACACATTTCCACCGGTCTAATTTCCATTGCTCGTGTTTCTTGGCCCAAGCAAGTCTCTTCTTCTTATTGGTGTCCTTTAGTAGTGGTTTCTTTGCAGCAATTCGACCATGAAGGCCTGATTCACACAGTCTCCTCTGAACAGTTGATGTTGAGATGTGTCTGTTACTTGAACTCTGTGAAGCATTTATTTGGGCTGCAATTTCTGAGGCTGGTAACTCTGGGTCTTCCTTTCCTGTGCCGGTCCTCATGAGAGCCAGTTTCATCATAGCGCTTGATGGTTTTTGCGACTGCACTTAAAGAAACGTTTAAAGTTCTTGAAATGTTCCGTATTGACTGACCTTCATGTCTTAAAGTAATGATGGACTGTTGTTTCTCTTTGCTTATTTGAGCTGTTCTTGTCATAATATGGACTTGGTCTTTTACCAAATAGGACTATCTTCTGTATACCCCCCTACCTTGTCACAACACAACTGATTGGCTCAAACGCATTAAGAAGGAAATAAATTCCACAAATTAACTTTTAAGAAGGCACACCTGTTAATTGAAATGCATTCCAGGTGACTACCTCACGAAGTTGGTTGAGAGAATGCCAAGAGTGTGCAAAGCTGTCATCAAAGCAAAGGGTGGCTATTTGAAGAATCTCAAATATAAAATATATTTTTTTTTGGTTACTACATGATTCCATATGTGTTATTCCATAGTTTTGATGTCTTCACTATTATTCTACAATGTAGAAAATAGTACAAATAAAGAAAAACCCTTGAATGAGTAGGTGTTCTAAAACTTTTGACCGGGAGCGTATGTGAACGAGGCCTGTGTGCAAGGGTGTCTCTTTGTGTGTGTGTCCTTGCGTGTGTGTGTGTGTGTAACGGTGAGTTGTCTATCTGGTTCTCTGTGGTCCTTTTCTCTTTCTCCATCACTCTGTCCATCACACGTCACAATGACAGGCTCTGTAATTGGCTGGCCCTGTCCCCCGTCCCCGCTGGAGCTCTGCAGGCACACCGCCGCTCCCAATTGGCTGATGACAAGATAGCGGCTGGCTTTCACATTGACCAAGGTTACCCTGCCTTCTTTCCTGCCTTCTCCCTGGCTCTGACATGACAACCAGGGAACGGCGGGATATTGAAGGAGAGGTCCGATCAAACCCACTTTCTTTCTTTCATTCCCATTTTTTTTTTTTTTTGGTGGTGGGACTTGAACGACCGACATCAAAGGTGGCTTTTGCCGAGGAGGAGATGGAGGCTTGTAGAGCAAACCAAAGTCAGCGGACAACAATAAAGCCAACTGCCACATGCTCCTTCTACAGACACGCACACAAACGGAAGGATGAACACGGACACGCACACCACAGGAAGCTGGTGTGCGTGTGCATAATAATGGCTGGAATGAATTGAAATGTGTCTTAGTCCTGTAGCAGGAAGCTCTCCTGCTCTGGAGGTTTCTTCATCCAGGTTCCCAGGCCTGTCTCCAGTAGCGATCTGAACCACTGCTGTTTGGCAGTCTGGTAAGAGCCGGCAGCCATCTTGGCCTCACAGTACATCAGTGGCTGGTCCACGGGCCCGGAAGCATGGATACTCAACTGGAGAGAGAAGGAAGAGTGAGAAAAGGATGGGGTAGAGGGTTAGGGTAAGAGAGATAGAGAGCAAAACAAAACTAATGAGCCGGCACAAACGGGGAACTTCAACAGCTGTGTAATCTCCCCATTTAAATTTCACAAGCAATTGAACATTCTCTGTGCTTTTGTGCATTTCCTTTGTTGCACAGGCAGAAAGAGAAGAGCAGCAGCCGCTAGGCGAGGCGAGAGAGGGGACGTAGGCACAGTCAGTCACAAGTTTCTTTGGAGATTACTGTGTCTGCTGTTGCATGCCTTACTGCGTGCAGGGACCAATTTCCAAGGGCGGCGCTCCTCAAGTGCTTCTCCAAATAATTATGGTTTTATAATCATTATAATTTAACTGCCACCATTTGGGTTTTGCAGGCATTTACACACATTTTCATAATGAAAATTAAACTGAGCTTTGTGTTTGTTCTAAAATAATAGGCTGCTATTGTGTAAAGAGGGGGTAAGCTGCTGTAGAGTACTGTGGCAGCTGTTGCTGGACACAGAGAGATGTCAAGTGGTTCCACACTACTCACCAGAAGCTTGGTTAGTCGTTATTAAAGGCATGGTATGACATTTTGTTATGCCATGTACAGATATACTTCCTTCATTTGACCAGTTTCTCACAGCAGAAAAATTATCCTGCAGCAACATGACATGTGAATTATTATATGGTTTATAATACATTTTAGGGGTTGATACTCCCGCGTGGCGCAGCGGACTAAGGCACTGCATCTCAGTGCTAGAGGCGTCACTACAGACCCTGGTTCGATTCCAGGCTGTATCACAATCCGGCCGTGATTGGGAGTCCCATAGGGCGGCGCACAATTGGCCCAGCGTTGTCCGCATTTGGCCGGGGTAGGCCGTCATTGTAAATAATAATTTGTTCTTAATTGACTTGCCTAGTTAAATAAAGGAAAAATAAAACATAAATTTTTCGTTAGGGAAAATCAAGGCTGACATTTTAAAGTGGAAATTACTCCTTAGAAGCCTTTTAAACTTTAGAAACCTTTTTAAACCTAGAAAATTCTCTGCAACAACAGAGTGATCAAATTAAGATAGAACATCTGTATTCATTATGATACAGTGCATAGTGTCTGTGTATTTCTGTCTGCAGTACTCACCTTGCGGTACAGCCTTGCCCAGCGGGTGAACAGAGCATGCTTGCAGAGCCTTGATGGCGTCCCAGAGTCCCTCTTCCGTCCCGTAGCCGTGTTGACCACCTCCAGCTGACCGTCCCCACAAGTCCAGTTCACACTGACACACAGAGACTTCCCCGGCTGACGACACTCACCGCTGACACTCAGACCTGCAGGGACGCACAGGAAAAAGGTAATTTGTCTTATTAAAATGTGTGTGATTAGGGCCTCCTGAGTGGTGCAGCAGTCTAAGGCTTCACTACAGACCCGGGTTCGATCCCAGGCTGTGTCACAGCCAGCTGTGACCGGGAGACCCATGAGGCGGCATACAATTGGCCCAGCGTCGTCCGGGTTAGGGGAGGGTTTGGCCAGCTGGGATTTCCTTGTCCCATCGCGCTCTAGTGACTCCTTGTGGCTGACTTCGGTCGCCAGCTGGGCGGTGTTTCCTCCGACACATTGGTGCGGCTGGGTTCCGGGTTAAGCCAGCAGTGTGTCAAGAAGCAATGCGGCTTGGAAGGGTCTTGTTTCGGAGGACACATAGCTTTCGACCTTCGCCTCTCCCGAGTCTGTAGGGGAGTTGCAGCAATGGGACAAGACTGTAACTACCAATTGGATATCATGTTAAAAATTTTTTTGAAAATTGGTGTGTGATTGCTTAAGCTTTTAGTCATATTAGACACAGGGTAATCCCGGTTAACCCAGAACTAAAGACTCAAGTAATTGGTCAGATGCTCGATTAAAGGTAGACTCAGCGAAATGACGTTGCCACGAGCAGCACCGCAGATATTGATAGATGCAACACTTCGCTCTCACACAGTCACAAACAGTATCTGTGCATGTGCACAGTATTGCTTCACACTGTGTACAGCATGGTAAACTGACCCACTATGCTGTTTACTTTTTGCATCTACGTCACATCGCTGAGTCTACCTTTAAGTTCTGGGTCCATACATATTGAGAAGAGATCGGAACCAGAAAGAAGAGCTCCACCCTCTCTCTTTGCAAGTTACCGGCAAGTCTATGGGCCAAATGTCCCCTCCCCTTCTGAAATTCAAAAGATGCTAACACCTGCGACATTATGATTTGTCCAAATAACCAGTGACGAAAACCCCCAAGCACTGGAACTAATGCTGCTCCTTATCTCATGCATCCAGGTGTATCATGACAGATCTACGCTACCGTTTATGTTTATGTAGTCTGTCCACGAGAGATTAGACACATGGGGACAGGGAACCGTCTTGTTGGAGACTGCTGTCTCAATTGAACTAAATAGTGCCCAAATGGAAATATTTGCTACACTTTTGCACTAATGCAACATTTGAAGAATAAAAAAAAGCTGAAACATGAAATTACTGTATCTTTGTTTCACCTGAACCTGAACTTTATACCTTTGATTTGCTTTTCATTTTAACTTTTTTGTGGTTAACTCCCTCTAGCAAAAAACAGATGCAACGTTTGCAGTGATGCAAAAAAGTAGTCAACCTGGTTCTCTAACTCCAAGCTGTTTATACACCAGCCTCTGTCCTCAGAGAGCAGTTAGAGACACTGGGGGGAGAGGGAGAGAGGAAGGGAGGGAGGGATAGGAAGAGGGAGTGAGAGACAGAGAGAGAGAGAGATACACTAGGGTGAGAGTGAGAGAGGAAGGGAGGAAGGGATAGGAAAAGGAAGAGAGCTAGAGAGAGAGAGGAGAGTGAGGGGGGAGTGATTGGGGAGAAAGAAAGAGAGAGAAAAGAAGAGAAAGAGAGTGAGAGAAAAAGAAAGATAGAGAGGGTCTATCAAGCATGCAAGTGTGCATTTCATTAAAGGGAAACGTGTTGACGTGGATAATGTAACGTGGGCGTTTGAAGCTTCACTATATCTGTGGTAAACACGGTGCCTGAGATACTGAGGTCCCTCACTGGACTCCTCAATCAGACACAGCCTCTCACCTCCAATTAGCTAGCATAGCGCTCCGCTAGCACTCTGCACAAAAAGCAGTGGAGGGGAGGAGGAGGAGAGGTGGAGGAGGGGAGAAGAGGAGGAGGTTAGGAGGCGAGGAGGAAAATGGGATGAGGAGGAGATGAGGAGGAGAGGAGGATATTGAGAAAGGAGGATGGTGAGGAGAGGAGGAGGGAGAGGAGGAGGATGGGAGGAGGAGAGGAGACTCAGCCACCAGACTTCATGTACAATGAATTAGCACCCAGCGTTACAGAACAAGAGAAGTGACAACCAGTTCCCCCCTACGGACACAGGGAATTAGCACCCCTGCTGAGTGCAGCTAAAAAAAAAATCTGACACACTCCAGCACTCCCCTTAAGAACAGTAGCAGCATTGTCAAGACATCAACACTGATTATAATGTAGTTATGCCCTGGTGGAAACACAGTAGAAAATACAAGTAGGAATGTTTACCATGACACAGGTAACTAAGAAGTCATGCAAAGTACCATGCACCATAATATGTCTGCATTTGAATAAAATGTTTAAGTCTGGACAAGTGTTCATATTAATGATATGATTGAATCGCTCATAATTAATAACGCTATTACTATAGCAGTAATTAGTAGATGAAGCAGTTTTGATAAAGATACCGTAAGAAAAAGGACTTGGTCATACAATTGTATGGACACAAAGCCATGCATTCTGAGATATAACACAAAATAGATTTAACACATATTCTCAGTGATCATCTTTCTGTGTGGCAGACTCATTCTCCCATCCTCCCATCTTCTCTCTTCCATTCACCAGTCTTTCATTCCTCTCTTCCTTCTTTTCTATAGCTTTTCAGAGCTGGAATGAATTGCCTGCCGACATAACAATCACCTAGTCTCTTATTACCATCCCTCCATTCTCTTATAGAGACACCTCTTTGAACAAAAGAGGATCTCGCTCTCGCTCTCCTCTCACTCTCTCCTGTCTCCCTCTCTCTCCCTCTCCTGTCTCCCTCTCTCTCTCTCTCTAATCATACTGCCTCTATTCATGCCTCATTTGATCCCTTCAATCGACTTGACTCTTGTGTCTCTGTAATAGCCAATTTGATTTTTCCTCTGTGAAGTCTTGATCAGTTTTTCTATTCTAGTTAGTGCTCTGCAGGTAGCTCATCAAGTAGACCAATTCAAACCTGTGGTTATGTGATGTATAATAATAATAGCTGGAAAATATAAATATTCATATTAAAAACCCACCACCACTACCACTAAAATTATTTCAAGAACCATTCCTGTGGCCACTGCTTAGAGCCTTGCACGCACATGCAGCATTAATATTGAGTGGACAACGGAAAAGTCTCAAATGTGAGCAAGGCGAAAGGCAGTGCTGGTAACGCATGATACATGCAATCTAAACACTAATAAGAATAGCAACTTAGGACTGTGAATGTGGAGGGGACAACACTTTATTAGACCACGCCACATCCAAGAATGTCAATTGAAAAGTCTTAAATGTGATTGATTGAGGCAAAAGGCAGCACTGGCAATGCATGATGCCTACAATCTAAACACTCTCTAATAGTAAAAGTAACTCCAGACCGTGTCTCCAGTGTGGTGTCTCCCAGTTGGGTTAAATCCAGGTGACTTTTTGAAGGACAACCTCATTGATGTGTTTAGCCTCCTCTGCTCTCTGCTGCAGGTGGAGTCATTTGGTTGGCAGTGATAAGAGCTCCTGGGGAACTCAGTCAGAGCCAGAGCCTTTCATATGACAGGACTTAAAATAACCCAGCCATTTCCCTGAACAAGAGGCCCAGACACAATGGTGGAGGATCTCATCAGGGCAGGATGAATGAAAAGGTGGAGGGAGGGTGGAGGAGGAGGGAGCATGGGTCCTGGGTCCTGGGTCCTGGGTCCTGGGAGTGAATGGAATGGACCATCCGTTCATCCCTCTCTCCCACTCTCTCTCTCTCTCTCCCCCTCGCCCTCCACCCCCCGCACCTCCTCTTTTCTCACTCCCTTCCTCCACAATGAATGGTTGTCTGATAAGAGCTGTGATTACATTGATTTGGAGTAGGGCCATCTCTCCAATGACCCCCTCTCCTCTCCTCCTCCCCCAGTCCTCTACTGGCTCCATGGTTCAGACAGCAAAGATACACACACACGCACGCATGCACACGTCCCAGTAAACATTTACATTTACATTTTAGTCATTTAGCAGACGCTCTTATCCAGAGCGACTTACAGGAGCAATTAGGGTTAAGTGCCTTGCTTAAGGGCACATCGACAGATTTTTCACCTAGTCGGCTCGGGGATTAGAACCAGCGACCTTTCGGTTACTGGCACAACGCTCTTACCCACTAAGCTACCTGCCGCCCTAGTAAACACAAAGACACAGCATTCGCTGATGTCCCTCTGCAATTGAAGCCTTGCACTGAGTTCACAAAGTTTGTTTTCCAGCGACTGGACATTAGCCATCAGGATACTAGGAAGAGGAGGCCGTATAGCCTGTCTTTTCAGCCTAGCTTGGAGTCCCCGTTTCCTTCCTCTTTTTCGTCGCGGGCATTGCCTTAGGTCATCTCGGCCAGGAGCAACAGGTAAGCCCACTTTGCGGGGAAAAAAGGAGGGAATGCAGTATTCCAGATCTGGGAGGAGAGAGTGTGTAGCTTCCGATTCATGATCCAGAAGTGTTTGTCGGTCGTAGGAAATGATTGCACGAACATTCTGTTTAAACAATGTAATAATTAAAGCAAAAATTGCCATAAAAAAGCAAAGTCGAGCAGGAACCGGCAAGACGCGCGCCCTCCTCAGCGCCGCCATCTTAGACACACCAGCTGTCGGTGCCCATCGAAGCCTTCCTCCCAGACAAGCTTAACACATTCTATGCTCGCTTCGAGGCAGACAATACCGAGTCATCCAGGAAGACTCTTGCTGCTCCGGACGACCAGGTGCTTTCACTCTCCGAGGCAGACGTGAGGAAAACTCTCAAAAGAGTGAATACAAAGCCGCCGGCCCAGATGGCATCCCTGGTTGCGTCCTCAGCATGTGTGCTGACCAGCTGGCGGGCATCTTCTCAGACATCTTCAACCTGTCCCCGTCCCAGGCTGTAGTCCCCATCTGCTTTAAGGAGACCAACATCGTCCCAGTGCCCAAGAAAAACTAAGTGACATTCCCAAATGACTATCGCCCCGCCGCGCTCACCTCAGTCATCATGAAGTACTTTGAGAGGCTGGTTATTGCCCACATCAAGGCCAGCATGCCAGACACACTGGACCCACTCCAATTTGCCAACCGCTCCAACTAGAGGTCTTCATGGGTCCATAAAGTTGGACCCGTTCCGAAATGGACCTGGGGCTTTCCCACCCGGAATCGATATGCATAAATGCATTTTTAAAATATAGAGACCCGTTCCGAACGGACCCGAGGACAACTAGACCTGTTCCATATAGACATGGTCGGATCCAGAACAGGTCTGATCCGAGTGAGGGAAGCAGCATAAAAATAAAATGTTAAGCTACTTTATTAACTGGTGCTGATAAAGCGCAAGAGGAGGGAGAGAGGTGCCACTCTAGCAGGCGAGGGAGGGGCTGTACTGTAAACAAGTGACACAGGGAGCTGGGAGGGAGAGACGAGAGACAGCAACTAACCAATCAACGCTATAGTAGACTAATCGCTGCCATAGCTAGGTTACTTATCATCAAATATGATTACGTAGTACCTGCCTCGAGTACGTGGACAACTACAAATATCTAGGTGTCTGGTTAGACTGTAAACTCTCCTTCCAGACTCACATTAAGAATCTCCAATCCAAAGTTAAATCTAGAATCGGTTTCCTATTTCGCAACAAAGCCTCCTTCACTCATGCTGCCAAACATGCCCTCGTAAAACTGACTATCCTACCGATCCTCGACTTCGGCGATGTCATTTACAAAATAGCCTCCAACACTCTACTCAGCAAATTGGATGTTGTCTATCACAGTGCCATCCGTTTTGTCTCCAAAGCCCCATATAATACCCACCACTGTGACCTGTACGCTCTTGTTGGCTGGTCCTCACTACATATTCGTCGCCAAACCCACTGGCTCCAGGCCATCTATAAATCACTGCTAGGCAAATCCCCGCCTTATCTTAGCTCATTGGTCACCATAGCAACACCCACCCGTAGTCTGCGCTCCAGCGGGTATATCTCACTGGTCATCCCCAAAGCCAACACCTCCTTTGGCCGCAATTCCTTCCAGTTCTCTGCTGCCAATGACTGGAACAAATTGCAAAAATCTCTGAAGCTGGAGACACTTATCTCCCTCACTAACTTTAAGCATCAGTTGTCAGAGCACCTTACCGATCACTGCACCTGTACACAGCCCATCTGAAATTAGCCCGCCCAACTACCTCATCCTTATATTGTTATTTATTTTGCTCATCTGTACCCCAGTATCTCTATTTGCACATCATCTCTTGCACATCATTCCAGTGTTAATACTAAATTGTAATTATTTTGCACTATAGCCTATTTTATTGCCTTACCTCCATAACTTGCTAAATTTGCACACTGTATATTAATTGTATTTCTGTTGTATATTTTTTGTTTTTTTTTGTTGTTTTTTTTGTTTTACCCCATATGTAACTCTGTGTTGTTGTTTTTATCGCACTGCTTTGCTTTATCTTGGCCAGGTCGCAGTTGTAAATGAGAACTTGTTCTCAACTGGTTTACCTGGTTAAATAAAGGTGAAATAAAAATAAATAAAAAAATCAAACCGGGAGAAGCTTGTTAAGCTAGCTAATGTTAGCTAGCTAGGCTATTTGAGGCTGCAGTTCATGGGCTTTCTCATCCTACAGTTACAAACAACAACAACTCCATTCAGAATATTAAGTAGAAGCCTACCTGTTGGCTCTTGGTTGTTGTAGCCTCTCCTCCTCCTTTAACTTTTAATTCCATAATTTTAATTCCATATTCCATTGATTAGATATCTCCTAACTTTTGCAAAAAACAGAGGCTTTATGACTGTAGCCTATTGCCGCTTTGATGACTTATGATTGGCCAACAACAAGCTACACATGCCACTCTCCTGAAAAGCAAGACCAGCAGCATAAATGATAAAATGTCTCTCTCTCGACTGCAGCAGTCACGTTCGGATCAGTCAGTTAAAATTACCCCGTGACAATCATATCAGATCCGACCCAGACCTGTGACATTATTTAGAATTCTGGATTCGTATTCTTATCTTTTATTATTTATTATTGTTGTTGCATTGTCGAGAAGGAACCTGCAAGTAAGCATTTCGTTGGACGATGTATACCATGCGTATCTTGTACATACGACTAATAAAACTTGAAACTTGAAACACACTCAGAAGGATGTCTAGAACGACAGGCAGAATGCTTGTGGCAGATGTCTGTGGCCACCTCTGTTTTGTTTTGAAGTTCTGCTTGTCCAAGGTAAAGGTCACCATTCTGCCCTTTGTCAACAACGATGAAATGAAAGACAAACATTTCTCAAAGAATTTATGTCAACCTTTGAGCAAAACATCCACATTTCGAGCAGAAGGAGCAATTCTCTTATGGAGACATACTATGTCCTTTATGTATGGACTGTCTTCAGTACCTAACTTAATACTTCAGACAACTTCCAAGTGACCCTACAGTGTTCTTGGTGGTTCAATGATACATTCATTATGACCATCATCACTAAAGGTCCTTCTATACAATAATCACTCCTGATGATGATGGAGCTGTAAAAATATTCATCCTTATGACACCTAATTACCCAGAGTTCTGCAGCACTGGGGATCTTTAGAGAGGCAGAATGCCCTTCAAGAGTAATGTGCACAACCTACCTCCCTAGCCGTGTGTGTATGGAGGGTGAACACACTGTTATCCAAAAACATATCCAAAGTTAAAACTATCATCATGATACATTTTGTATAGTGTTGCATTGTCTGTCTGTCTGTCTGTCAGTCAGTCAGGCTGTCAGTCTGTCTCTGTGTCTCTTACCACTAAGGAGAGGCTGGTTGCGTCTGTAGGCGGCGGGCAGCGGTCCGAGGCACTCCAGTCTCTGACTCATCACCCTGTTGAAGTGACCCGGGTGTCTGAGGCTGCCCACCGTCAGACTGTGGAGGTACACCGGCTCCACAAAGTGACTCAACAATGCCCCCTGCAGCCCCAGGACGTTCCATCTACAGGAAAGGAGAGGGGGGAGAGGAGAGGTGGGAAAGGCGAGAGAGCGCGAGGAGAGGAGAGAGAAAGAGGGGTGGAGAGAGAGAAGGGCAGAGAGGAGGGAATAGAAGAAAGAGAAGAGAGGAAGGAGACAGGGGACAAAAGAGAAGAGAGGAGAGAGGGGAGAACTAGCGTCAGTGATGGACAGAGACAATCTGATCATTATCTGGCCAAAGGACGTGACAAGATAGGGAACAAATGGTGACACACACACACACTCAACAAAGGTTAGAGCATTATCACTCATTACAGCCGACCAGATATTATCATTCATATATTCACCAGTGACATCAGGGTTAATGCACTTCTAGAGGGTTTGTGCTTACAGGTGTGCTTTTCTTTCGCGAGGACTAAGGACAAGGGCAATCACCTCTGAGTTTGTTTAGGAAGATCCACGAGTGACACATAATCAATAAAGCTCTAATCCTGTCTGCATCCATTACATAGAAGTGTGGTGGTGAGATAGTATAATACTGGTGGTGAGATAGTACTATACTGGTGGTGAGATAGTACTATACTGGTGGTGAGATAGTACTATACTGGTGGTGAGATAGGCCTATACTGGTGGTGAGATAGGCCTATACTGGTGGTGATATAGTAATATATTTGTGGTGAGATAGGCCTATACTGGTGGTGAGATAGTACTATACTGGTGGTGATATAGTAATATACTGGTGGTGATATAGTACTATACTGGTGGTGATATAGTAATATACTGGTGGTGATATAGTAATATACTGGTGGTGAGATAGGCCTATACTGGTGGTGAGATAGGCCTATACTGGTGGTGATATAGTAATATACTGGTGGTGATATAGTAATATACTGGTGGTGAGATAGGCCTATACTGGTGGTGAGATAGTACTATACTGGTGGCAGACCTGGGTTCAAATACTATTTGAAATAATTTCAAATAATTTAGTTGCAAAACTGAAAACCCCACCCATCTGGTACTCCAAATAGTATTTGAACCCAGATCTGAATGGTGGTGAGATAGTAGGCCTAGATGTCTCTAGACTGCCTTGCCATTTGCTGTTTAGACTAATCTATTTTCCAGAATACATTAACAAATGGATGGGGCATAATTACTATGTTTATAATGATTTCCTCCTTTCAGAGCGAGAGAACAAAGATATAGAGGCCCTCTGTGTGTACCTGGGTTGTGTAGCTGTGTACTCACAAGCATTGGACTAAAGAACTTATGAGAAGCGCAATCAGAGGGAAACATTATGTTGCTAATTTTTACACCATTGTTCTTTTTGCTAATCAATGTATCTTTATCATGACTGTAATAATTGAAATTATCTTTTCCTCTCGCATCCCCCATTCATGACTAATAATGTGTCATTATAGTTTTTGCTTCCCCCGAGCAGTCAATTAACATCCATGCTTTCCAAGAATCGCTAAACTGCGCAAACTGCCACCTCGGCTGTACCTGCGCCACCACAGTCTGTTAGTGGGATCTGTCCTTTTTCAAACAAAAGAAAGAGCTCTATTCTCTCTTTTCCCCTCCCGCTCCTTCCACCAAAACAGAAATGATTTAGCTTGAAATATTAATTTACCTAGGAAGCAACGCTGTGAATTAGAAACATATTTTAATCTCATGCAAGAAAAGACAGCCATCTGGCTGTTGCATGAATTTTAAAGGGGGGAGACTCCCTCCCTCTCTCCCGTCCTCTCTCCCGTCCTCTCTCTATCCCTCCTTCTCTTCCTCCCTCCTCCTCTCCGTAAATGGAGACCATTAAAGTAATGTGTTCATCTACATAAAATCCAAATGGAAGATAAAGGTTCATAGTCATATGAAACCATTTAGGCCCTTCAATTAAAAAATACATTGACTTAATCAAACATCCACTCTCTGGTCAATCAGGTTCCCAGACCCTGTTGTGCTTTTTCAAAAACACTAACGATCACAATAATGACAATAGTAACGATGATTAAAAAATTAAAAAATACAAACGCTTTCATGGTGGTTCATTTACCGTAACACAACTCTACGCCTACGCAAACAGACATGATGACATGAGGGAGTGGGGGATGAATGAATGGAGGGAGATATATGATGAAGGGAGGGATACAACAAGGAGTGTAACTGTGGGACATAAACAGACAGTGGCAGTAGGGCAGGCTTCACCTCTGATGTGTCTATTTACAGCTGAAATAGGTCCCCCCCCCCCCCCCCCCTCTGTCTTTGTCTCTTTGTCTCACTCGCTCTCTCTCTCTCCTCCCTCTATATCCCTATCTCTTTCACCCTGACCTTAATTATCTGGCCCTCACTAACCCACTCACTTCAGTGGAGGCCAAGGATAATTTACAAGGATATAAATGGAGAAAGAGGAGTGGAGAGGGAGAGAAAGAGGGTGTCGGACGTTGTCTAGCTTGGTGGAAAGAAAGAAAGAAAGAAAGAAAGAAAGAAAGAAAGAAAGAAAGAAAGAAAGAAAGAAAGAAAGAAAGAAAGAAAGAAAGAAAGAAAGAAAGAAAAAAAAAAAGAAAGAAAGAAAGAAAGCAGGATGTCCCTTTTCCTTTCCCCTGACTGCCGTGTCGTATCCCTCTATTTTTTGCCAAGTAATTGCTTTCACCTATAGTGGTGACCTAGACAGATGTAATCGCTGCGTCTCCAGCCCCGGCCAACTGAATCACATTGGTCAGATTAACGGTCACTTTCAGGGGGAAAGAGGAGAGCCACCTCAGAATACACTATATATACAAAAGTATGTGGACACCCCTTCAAATTAGTGGATTCGGCTATTTCAGCCACACAAGTTGCTGACAGGTGTATAAAATCGAGCACACAGCCATGCAATCTCCATAGACAAAAATTGGCAGTAGAATGGCCTTACTGAAGAGCTCAGTGACTTTCAACGTGGCACCGTCATAGGATGCCACCTTTCCAACAAGTCAGTTGGTCAAATTTCTGCTCTGCTAGAGCTGCCCCGGTCAACTGTAAGTGCTGATATTGTGAAGGGAAACGTCTAGGAGCAACAACGGCTCAGCCGCGAAGTGGTAGGCCACACAAGCTTACAGAACGGGACTGCCGAGTGCTGAAGCGCGTAGTGTAAAAATAGTCTGTCCTGAGTTGCAAGACTCACTACCGACTTCCAAACTGCCTCTGGAAGCAACGTCAACACAAGAACTGTTCATCGGGAGCTTCATGAAATGGGTTTCTATGGCCGAGCAGCCGCAAACAAGCCTAAGATCACTATGCGCAATGCCAAGCGTCGGCTGGAGTGGTGTAAAGCTCGCCGCCATTGGACTCTGGAGCAGTGGAAACACGTTCTCTGGAGTGATGAATCACGCTTCACCATCTGGCAGTTCGATGGACAAATCTGTGTTTGGCGGATGCCAGGAGAACACTACCTGGCCCAATGCATAGTGCCAACTGAACGTTTGGTGGAGGAGGAAAAATGGTCTGAGGCAGTTTTTCATGGTTCGGGCTAGGCCCCTTAGTTCCAGTGAATGGAAATCTTAACACTACAGCATAAAATTACATTCTATACGATTCTGTGCTTCCAACTTTGTGGCAACAGTTTGGGAAACGCCCTTTCCTGTTTCAGCATGACAATGCCCCCGTGCACAAAGCAAGGTCCATACAGAAATGGTTTGTCGAGATCGGTGTGGAAGAACTTGACTGGCCTGAACAGCGCCCTGACCTCAACCCCATCAAACACCTTTAGCAGCAACAGGGGGACCTACTCCATATTAACGCCCATGATTTTGGGCATTAATATGTTCGACGAGCAGGTGTTCGACGAGCAGGTGTCCACATACTTATGGTCACGTACAGTGACTTGCGAAAGTATTCATCCCCCTTGGCATTTTTCCTATTTTGTTGCCTTACAACCTGGAATTAAAATTGATTTTGGGGGGGTTAGTATCATTTAATTTACACAACATGTCTACCAATTTGAAGATGCAAAATATTTTTTTTTGTGAAACAAACAAGAAATGTAGACTTTGGCTCTACAAAGTCAATACTTTGTAGAGCCACCTTTTGCAGCAATTACAGCTCTTGGGTATGTCTCTATAAGCTTGGCACATCTAGCCACTGGGATTTTTGCCCATTTTTCAAGGCAAAACTGCTCCAGCTCCTTCAAGTTGGATGGGTTCCGCTGGTGTACAGCAATCTTTAAGTCATACCACAGATTCTGAATTGGATTGAGGTCTGGGCTTTTACTAGGCCATTCCAATACATTTAAATGTTTCCCCTTAAACCACTCGAGTGTTGCTTTAGAAGTATGCTTAGGGTCATTGTCCTTCTGGAAGGTGAACCTCCGTCCCAGTCTCAAATCTCTGGAAGACTGAAACAGGTTTCCCTCAAGAATTTCCCTTTATTTAGCGCCATCCATCATTCCTTCAGTTCTGACCAGTTTCCCAGTCCCTGCCAATGAAAAACATCCCCACGGCATTATACTGCCACCACCATGCTTCACTGTGGGGATGGTGTTCTCGGGGTGATGAGAGGTGTTGGGTTTGCGCCAGACATAGTGTTTTCCTTGATGGCCAAAAAGCTCAATCTTATCATCTGACCAGAGTACCTTCTTCCATATGTTTGGGGAGTCTCCCACATGGCTTTTGGCGAACACCAAACGTGTTTGCTTATTATTTTCTTTAAGCAATGGCTTTTTTCTTGCCACTCTTCCGTAAAGCCCAGCTCTGTGGAGTGTATGGCTTAAAGTGGTCCTATGGACAGATACTCCAATCTCCACTGTGGAGCTTTGCAGCTCCTTCAGTGTTATCTTTGGTCTCTTTGTTGCCTCTCTGATTAATGCCCTGCTTGCCTGGTCCATGAGTTTTGGTGGGCGGCCCTCTCTTGGCAGGTTTGTTGTGGTGCCAAATTCTTTCAATTTTTTAATAATGGATTTAATGGTGCTCCGTGGGATGTTCAAAGTTTCTGATATTTTTTTTATAACCCAACCCTGATCTGTACTTCTCCACAACTTTGTCCCTGACCTGTTTACTTAGGTTGGAGTCATTAAAACTCATTTTTCAACCACTCCACAAATGTATTGTTAACAAACTATAGTTTTGGCAAGTCGGTTAGGACATCTACTTTGTGCATGACACAAGTAATTTTTCCAACAATTGTTTACAGACAGATTATTTCACTTATAATTCAATGTATCACAATTCCAGTGGGTCAGAAGTTTACATACACTAAGTTGACTGTGCCTTTAAACAGCTTGGAAAATTCCAGAAAATGATGTCATGGCTTTAGAAGCTTCTGATAGGCTAATTGACATCATTTGAGTAAATTGGAGTTGTACCTGTGGATGTATTTCAAGGCCTACCTTCAAACTCAGTGTCTCTTTGCTTGACATCATGGGAAAATCAAAAGAAATTGTAGACCTCCACAAGTCTGGTTCATCCTTGAGAGCAATTTCAAAACGCCTGAAGGTACCACGTTCATCTGTACAAACAATAGTACGCAAGTATAAACACCATGGGACCACGCAGCCGTCATACCACTCAGGAAGGAGACACATTCTGTCTCCTAGAGATGAACGTACTTTGGTGCGAAACGTGCAAATCAATCCCAGAACAACAGCAAAGGATGCTGGAGGAAACATGTACAAAAGTATCTATATCCACAGTAAAACTAGTCCTATATCGACAAAACCTGAAAGGCCGCTCAGCAAGGAAGAAGCCACTGCTCCAAAACCAACATAAAAAAGCCAGACTACGGTTTGCAACTGCACATGGGGACAAAGATCATACGTCTTGGAGAAATGTCCTCTGGTCTGATGAAACAAAAATAGAACTGTTTGGCCATAATGACCATCGTTATGTTTGGAGGAAAAAGGGGGATGCTTGCAAGCCGAAGAACACCATGCCAACCGTGAAGCATGGGGGTGGCAGCATCATGCTGTGGGGGGGCTTTACTGTAGGAGGGACTGGTGCACTTCACAAAATAGATGGCATCTTGAGGAAGGAAAATTATGTGGATATATTGAAGCAAGACATCAGTCAGGAAGTAAAGCTTGGTCGCAAATGGGTCTTCCAAATGGACAATGACCCCAAGCATACTTCCAAAGTTGTGGCAAAATGGCTTAAGGACAACAAAGTCAAGGTATTGGAGTGACCATCACAAAGCCCTGACCTCAATCCTATAGAAAATTTGTGGGCAGAACTGAAAAAGCGTGTGCGAGCAAGGAGGCCTACAAACCTGACCCAGTTACACCAGCTCTGTCAGGAGGAATTGGACAAAATTCACCCAACTTATTGTGGGAAGCTTGTGGAAGGCTACCCGAAACACTGACCTAAAACAGGGAATTTTTACTTGGATTAAATGTATTTGGCTAAGGTGTATGTAAACTTCCGACTTCAACTGTATACTGAGATCATGTGACACTTAGATTGCACACAGGTGGACTTTATTTAACTAATTATGTATGTGACTTCTGAAGGTAATTGGTTGCACCAGATCTTATTTAGGGGCTTCATAGCAAAGGGGGTGAATACATATGCACGCACCACTTTTCCGTTATTAATTTTTTAGAATTCTTTGAAACAAGTTCTTTTTTTCATTTCACTTCACTAATTTGGACTATTTTGTGTATGTCCATTACATGAAATCCAAATAAAAATTACAGGTTGTAATGCAACAAAATAGGAAAAACGCCAAGGGAGATTAATACTTTTGCAAGGCACTGTATGTATGTGTGTGTGTGTGTGTGTCTCAGTTACCAGATCTCAACTCAATTGAACACTTATGGAGCAGCGACTTAGACAGCGTTTCCCACCACCATCAACAAAACACCAAATTATGGAATTTCCTTTATTTTGGCAATTACCTTTATGTATCGAGATTATGACAGGTATGGCCAGGCAGATGTTGTTGTATCCTATATGTCAAAAAACCCGCTAGCGGCTAGCAGCACCAATTAACCTCCAACTATCGGGAGAATTGTAGGGAAACAGTGCTGCTAGCTGCCATCGCCACATCTCTCCCTAGTTGAGTTAGATAATACAGCTAATGTGTGGACACTCTCACATCCCTGTGAAAAGAGACAGGGTGAGAACGAGAGATTTAATTCAACATCACTGTCTTCAACATCCGTATCGAGAACAAGGGGATAATTTATTGCTGTCAAAAGACACCTCTCAGAAAAAACACTAGTGGTGAGTAAAAAAATCACCCCGAACTTAAGCCTCGATACACTACCGCCTTGTCTCCCCTCATGTCAGATCCCAGAACCCTCTCTCTGGGTAGGTGGTGGAGGAATATCACACAGCAGAGGTAGCAGACCTTATTCACTGTACTGTGGGTGTACTGTTAAAGACTGTTAAAGACCATGGTAAAGTCCCAAATGGAATCCTATTCCCTATAGAGCACTAGGCAACCTAAGACCAGGAGGTAGTGTGAGGGCCAGGGGATTAAAACAATGACTCAGACCCCTACATTAACTAATTAGTATAGGATTATCCTATGCAACCTCATATGAAAAATCAGCGTCATTCAGTCAACAGGAGAAAAACCAACAACACAAGTCACTGACTGACTGACTGAATGATATCTCCGGTTCCCTGCTCCTGTTCTGTTTCTCCTGCTCTTGGGCAGAGATTTATCCACCACACACAGAGTAAATATCAGACCAATCCTAACCCTTCTCTGTAGTCAATAAAGCCATCTTTTTAAATGCTCTGTTTAAACAGGGATCATGTGTTTTCATAAAAAAGGTAGTCCTCCAATAAAGATAGCCCTTAGATCAATAAATGCCTGTGTTTTCGTTCCTGTCTGTGCAGTGTCTGGATTATTCAGAGTTTGGCCTTTGTGAACATCGCCCTTTACTTTGTGACTTCCACTGTTTTGTTTTACCTCTGGCTATGACTGTCTGTCTGTTGATTCAACGATTTTCATCCTGTCCTCTGAAATGTCATATAGGCAGATCATATATGCTTTACCTTTGATGACATAGCAGGTCCTAAAATTCGACAGGGGAGGGGTAAAGTGTGTTTTCATGGTAACCATAGAGATGGTGTGTTTGTGTGTGTCTGATGATCTAACCTGGTGATCTTGTCTGTGCAGGACATGGTGATGAGCTGTTCCCCCTGCAGTACCCCGTCCCAGGTCTGGACCGCCCCTCTGGAGGACCTCACAGGCAGGGTCCCCTCCCCAGACTCGATCTTGGTCCTCAGGTGGCTGTGGAACTTCTTCAGCAGGTGTCTGCTGCTGTGCACTGGGAATGAAACAGAGACGGACGGTCAGTCTTATTTGTGTGTCTGTGTGGGTATTAATTGATTCATTCGTTAATTAATAGATTTGTTCATTCATTCATTCATTCATGAATTCATTCATCTATGTCTGTGTATCTGACTGGTTCTATACAGTATGTAGCACACACGATCATGCCTAGCGTTGTGTCTCTATGTATCTGCCTGCAATTCCACCTTATATCCATCCCATACGGAAATCAACCACCCCATGAAAAGGCAATGATTCTAAACCATTTGCCAAGTAGTTCTCCACTATAGATATTCTCTCTCTCTCTCTCTCTCTCTCTCTCTCTCTCTCTCTCTCTCTCTCTCTCTCTCTCTCTCTCTCCTCTCTCTCCTCTCTCTCTCTCTCTCTCTCTCTCTCTCTCTCTCTCATCCTCTCTCCTCGCTATCTCATCCTCTCACTCTCTCCTGCTCTCTCTCTCTCTCCTCCTCTCTCCTCTCTCTCTCCCCTCTCTCTCTCTCTCTCTCTCACGCTCTCATCTCTCTCCTCCCCTCTCGCTCTCTCTCCTCTCTCTCTCTCCTCTCTCTCGTCCTCTCTCTCTCTCTCTCTCTCTCTCTCTCTCTCTCTCTGTGTGTGTGTGTGTTGCTATGCTGCACTTGATGCAATGAGGTTAAAGTTAAGCCTCGAGTTCCCCTCTGAAGTATTGAGAAAAAGGCAGAGAAAGGTATTATGGGAGACGCTTCTGCATAAGTAATTTTCTAATCTGTAAAAGCTGATTGATGAAAATTTAAAAGGTTTAATGACCAAGAAAGTGAAGTTCAAAGCTTTCCAGGGAGACAGTCTCTCAGTTCCTTTCATACTGGTGTGATTAATTTGCCTCCTCAAATGTTTTTCTCCTTCGCTTTAGTGTGTGTGTGTGTGTGTGTGTGTGTGTGTGAGAACCTCCACATCAATATAATGATACACCAGCAGCATGGCTACAGTGCTGAATAGATCTGTCTAAGAGAAAAAGGGGGGGGAAATATTTTTGATGGAAAACTGCCAAGCAGATTACATTGCTAACCCTGTAAGTCACACATAAAAACGAATGCCAGCCGTCGCCATCTAAATGAATATACATTTTTTTTATGGAGTAAGCATTAAAATGTCATCTGTTTAGCACAGTGGCTTGGCAGTCTGAAAGGCCTGTGGATGTAATGTGACATGAAAGGGATGCCAGTTTTCTGACAGCGTCTGACAAAAGCAGAGCAGTCGCTTTCAACATCTCAGCCGGCAGAAGATGTTCCCTTTAAAAAAACTCTGGTAAAGAGAAAAAGACACCAAACCACAAAGAAGACAGGAGAGAGGGAGGGAAAATAAACGAGCGATAACGATGGAAAGAGAGAGAGTCTGTCTTACGGTCGGTGGTGACTTCGTAGGGCGAGTTGAGGCGAGCGTCTCCACAGGGCGACGTGCTGATGTACATATGGAAATGGACGTTGTCCCTCAACCGGTACCCTGACTCCTTGTGCCGGACGAATATCGACTCTTCCCAGTCCTCTCGCCTTTTGCTTCAGAGAAGAAGAAAGAGAAAGAGGAGATGAGGAAGAAGAGAAGACAGATGAGAAGTGACCACTATCTATCACAGTACACACATAACCCCCCGTCTGTGTTTCAATGATGAACTGAAACAGAGGGAGAGAGCGAGTGATTACAAACACTGGCCTTCTCCCTGACCAAAGCAGTTTCTCTCTCTGTCACTGTCGGCCCCCTGAACATTACTCAGTCTGTCTCAACTGGATGATACATCACTGAGAGCAGAGGGCTGGTGGTGTGTGTGTGTTTGTGTGTGTGTGTGTGTGTGTGTGTATACCAGTTTCTCCTACATCATCCCTGAACGGTTGAAATGACTATGATCCTTGACTGATACTAGACACAAGGCTACCCACTAAAACTTCAGTCAGCTATTCAGCTACTGATTGTGACGTGTGACAGTAGCTGCTACTACCAACTGAGCCTGCAAATATTTGTTTTACTGAAATATACTTAAATTTCACAAATCCATATTGAACCATGCCACATGTTTACTATTTGATGCCTTGAATTCAGAGAATTCAGTTCTACCATGTACTAATATACCATTTTTAGATTCTTAATCTCTGGAGACATGCATTGCATGATACTAGTATATTCCCTACGACGCTTTCTGTCTCAACCCGAGTCTTTTAATAAAAAAATGTTGGGTCATTTAGCAGACACTCTTATCCAGAGCGACTTACAGTTAGTGAGTGCATACATTTTTCATACTGGCCCCCCGTGGGAAACGAACCCACAACCCTGGCGTTGCAAGCGCCATGCCCTACCAAGTGAGCTACAGGGTGAAAATATGTCAGTTATGGCATTATGTTTGGCTATTTTCATAGGACTTATCTTTCCCATTAGCTTTCTCTTGCTCAGCCGCTGAGACTCTGGCCCAGTGATTATATTATACATTGAGGAAAGACAAAAGTCAATACACTGTATTATGCTAATATGACATTAAAGGAGCTTGCCTTTTCTACTCTAATCTGACACATCAGGCTGGCAATTTAGTAGCCAGAAGGGCCTGGCAGGTAAGATTGGTTCATAGTAGCACATGATGCAATTTACCAAAGTGCTTGTGTAGGTTGGAGAATTTCAAACTAAAAACTAGAATTTTTAGAAGACTGTGTTTCTTCTCTGGTGGGGCAAACATTAGGTTTTGTAGAGGTAGTTATAGCGGTTTCACAAGCCAAAGAATGTAACGTATATCATTTTCATCAGGAATTCATGCTTTGGCACAATAACAGTCTATCTACAGTATGACACCTTGATTATGAAAATGTCTTTGTTGTATAACGCTTCTCTGTTACCATGGTGCTAAGTAAGAACATAATTGTCATTTAAGCGTAGCTACACAAGTTCTATAATATGATCTGATTTAGCATCTTATTTTTAGGAGCATTTAATGAACATCTTCGAAAATAACTCATGTAGAGTGGTTTAAAAACACATCCATTATATCACATTAATTTACATATCCCTCATTTTACTTGAAAGGATCATTAGTAAAACACCCATGCCTACTCTTGTACAATTCAAAGGAGACTAAATGTGATGTTATTACTGAGAGTATAGGAAGTTCATCAACACTTTACTTAATGCCTGCAGGTATAATGTTTTATTAGGTGTTATAAGCTTGTATGAGCCCTTACAATGACGCCTTATAACACTGCTTATAATATGTTACAGAAGCATTAGATGTTGTTACCTTAAGAAGAGCTCTAACTGAGAGTAGAGGTAGCGAACCAAGGCCCTTCTGGCTGTGATTTCAGCGTGACAGTCGTTAACCACCAGTCCTTGGTTACTGATGTATTCTCCCTTGATACATTTGGTCCCGGTAGATAATGCTACCACCTGGACTTGTCTCAGGTCCAAACCTGGCAAACACAGAGAGAGAAAAAAAAGGGAGATGAACGTGTTTTAGAAATAAAAATAGCTTTATTACGTTTAACATATAATTTACAACTCATGACTCACACTTCATTGTGTCGTTTTGACAGAACATCATGTCATCATGTAATCAAGCGGTGTGAAAACAATGAAACAAGAGTATGTCTAGAGTCTGCATTAGTTAGGGGATAACAGTGGACTCAATCAACAATTCTCCACACCTAAATACCTTTAACCACATACCATAGGCCCTTTCTGAATGGCACTATATTCCCTATATAGGGCACTACTTTTGACCAGAGCCTGGTCAAAAGTAGTGCCCCATGTGGGGAATTGGGTGCCATTTGGGACACAGACCATATAAACACAATTTCAGACTTCAGGGGAACACTTCAGGTGAACAGTACTACCACTCTCTGAAACGTGATTGTTAGTGAACCCAAAATGAATAAACCCCCCCTTGCAGCACATAGATCCCCTCCTGCCATAGCCCTGAAACCTATTTGTTTGATTTTAATTCAAAAGCACTGTGGTTAAAAAAGGGACTTTAGCAGCAGGATTTTTGACAGCATAAACCATGAGTGTGTGACAGGGCTGGCTCAGCATGCTTTAACCACCGTCAGTCTCCTCTTTTCTCCTCTCCTCTGCTCAGCCCGCCACAAATCTCTCCATCGCTTCACAAATTCAGGGTTCACTGCGTCCGCCGGACCTGCAGGCAACGCGGGTGCAACATATGAGCTTTTATCTGCTGTGGCCCAGATGGTATTGTAGTCAGGCAGACAGGCAGGCTAGTGTGGTGTGTGTGTGTGTGTGTGTGTGTGTGTGTGTGTGTGTGTGTGTGTGTGTGTGCGTGCGTGCAGACAGGTGACGAGCCACCTATGCCAGGTTGCCATTAACAATAAGAGCAACTCATATTGAGGTGGGGTTAAAGTCATGGCCTCTGAAATCCATTCGGCTAGCTTTGACTAACCACCGACTGACTCACTGGCTGCTTGGATAGAGCAGAGAAGGACGGAGACATATGAGATATGGTTCTTCTCATGATGAATCTCCTAGCTTCTTTATACGTTCCTGTAGCAATGCTATATTGTTGTTCCCCATGGATTTTGGATCTGTACGTTAGTCACACGGTGTATCTCAAACAGCACTGGCCCGATTTTGACCAATCTTGGGTGAATGACTATATTAGACGCAGTGTGGCCTTCTCACAGTGAACTGCTCTATTGAGACATTTTACCGGTTTCTTTGACTTGATTCTATTCCATCACAGGATAGCCTGGCATTTGTGGTCCTCTGTAGCTCAGCTGGTAGAGCACGGCACTTGTAACGCCAGGGTAGTGGGTTTGATCCCCGGGACCACCCATACACAAAAATGTATGCACGCATGACTGTAAGTCGCTTTGGATAAAAGCGTCTGCTAAATGGCATATTATTATTATTATTATTATTATAGCCAACTTCCTACCCCTGTCAGGGATATAATGGTGCTATGTACTGAAAAACCTTTTGTTTAATTTATGTATACTTTTGTTAACATTGATGTTTGTTTACCGTTTTAACAGAAGTGCTTAATTTGCATTTACAAAATGTCACCAATTGGCCAGATGGTGGCGCTATAACAAGAGATTGAAAATGCTAACTTTGAAAGGTCACGCCCCTCACCCCATTTGACCTAAAGTCATGAAAAAATGGCAACGAATGACCGATCTGCACGAAACTTGATATGTGGCATCTATGGACAAATGTCTCTCAACGCAATATTTTGCAAGAACATTCATATCGACCACACGGTGGCGCTATAATGGGCGCATGTTTATATCTCTTGATCTGTTTGATGAGATTTGGCACACGTGCTCAGGGATTTGAGTCTAGCTAACCCATGAGATATCTCAGACACCACTGATCCGATTTTGACGAAACCTGGGTGAATGATGCATTTGCCATAGAGATCCACCATAGAGATCCATGATTGGCCCAAGGGGGGCGCTGCATCATTGTTGGGGGACAATATGTTTGCTGTTGCCTTGTTGATTACGAAACGGTTAGTTCTGGCCATGCAATCTGATTGGTCAAAAGTGCATTCCAGCCGTGTAGTTTTTTTTTTTTTCGGGGGGGGGGGGGGGGATGGATCAGCTTAATATTGCAGATAGATTGTATCTTCTATCAATGTAATTGTCTGCATCACTTCCAATCCCCCATGTTTTTTATATATATACTCCCCTTTATTACTTTTCAACCCCGCCATCCTTTCCCTACTTGGAGTAAATTAGTGAACAACAATGCCCAGGCCTCTACTTCCGGTCTATACTTATTATCTACACCTTATGGACACAGTTCATTTTACAATAATTCTATTATATATATATATATATATATATATATTTATATTTTTTGCTCCTGAACTTCTTCTACTCTCAACCTCTCCGATCATTTTCATGATGTCCATCCGGTTTGCTTCTATATGCCATATCTTTCTAACTGTGCTCTTTCCCAAAAGCTCCCAACATACAACCTATATACTTATTATGGACACAGTATGCTTACATTATTAGCTATCTTTGTTATTATTTGTTGTTATTTGTTATTAGTCCCATCTTTCAACTCTATTCAATACCTCCCATCTATCTCTTAACACCATCCATATAGGATTTCTATTTGCCATATATATTTCAACCGTACTGTGATGTTTTACAAAAGTTCTGAACCTTTCTATTCTCATTGCTTCTACAGATTGTGAATTAAAAATAAACATTTTTGCTAAAAGTATTATTATATTATTGATCGATTGACTATGACTTTTCAGATCACCCAGTAATGCTATCTACAAGGTTAGCTCCAGGTAAATATTGCAATCCTTTAGCCATTCCTGGACCTGTGTCCAAAAACAAGCTACAAATGGACAGAACCAAAACAAATGATCTAATGATTCTGTCACAGCAAAATCTGCAGAGCTGGGAAGATTGTATCCCCCATATAAATAACATTCTATTGGTAGCAAGAATTTTATATAATAATTTAAATTGAAAGATTCTAATTTTTGAATCCAGTGTCGTTTTGCGTGTCAGTTCATAAACACTATGCCATGGGATCGGTACGTCAAAGATCTCTTCCCAACTATTTTGCAATCTATATGGGACGGCTGTCAATCCTTTGGTCCTTAAGTGAAACTGATATACTTTTTTATTTATCACAGTTTTCCTTAACCAATTATGTTCTTTAATGCAAGGCCGACAGACAAGTTCCTTACTTTCTCCCCCTTCCACTTTCCTCTTCCACTTTTGCGGTAAGGCTGCAATTATTTGGTTGTAATTTTGGGTAGAGCAGACATTTCCATATGTTTTTGTTAGCTGCATGTGCGACATAACTCCACCAGTCCTACCGATGATATCATTTACGAAGATTATACCTTTGTTTTAAATTCTGTCAAAAAATAAAGGTTTTTTGTCAATTAGTATATTTGAATTTAACCACAATATTTGTTGCATTATTTGTTCTGTCGTTTCTGGAGGATTAAATTGAAATTGCAACCAACTTTCTATGGCTTGTTTTAGAAATAGTGATATTTGGGAGATTATTTCCTTTTCAAATAACTGCAAATGAGTTGTTGTAATCTGAATAAAGGGAAAAAGGCCTTTCTTGAACATTGGGTGAGACAATCTTACTAATTTGCTTGAGAACCAGTTCGGATTTAAGTATAACTTTTGTATGACTGAAGCTTTTAGTGATAGGTCTAATGCTTTAATATTTAATTATTTCTGTCCTCCGAATTCATATTAATTATATAAATATGCCCTTTTAATTTTGTCTGGCTTGCCGTTCCAAATAAAATTGAATATGTTTTTCTCATATAATTTAAAAAACTGTTCGCTAGGCGTAGGCAAGACCATAAGCAAATAGGTCAACTGGGATAATACTAAAGAGTTAATCAGGGTGATTTTTCCACAAATTGACAGGTATTTTCCTTTCCATGGTAGTAAGATCTTATCTATTTTTGCTAACTTTCTATTAAAATTGATTGAAGTGAGATCATTTATTTCCTTTGGGATATGTATTCCGAGTATATCCACATCACCATCAGACCATTTTATTGGTAAACTACATGGTAATGTAAAAATTGTATTTTTTAGTGATCCAATAAGTAATATAGTACATTTGTCATAATTTGGTTGTAATCCAGAGAGGTTAGAAAATATATCTAGATCCTCTATGAGGCTGTGGAGGGATTCTAGTTGTGGATTTAAAAGAAAACATGAATCATCAGCGTACAATGACACCTTTGTTTTTAAGCCCTGTATTTCTAATCCTCTGATATTATTATTGGATCTGATTTTAATAGCTAACATCTCGATGGCCGTGATGTTAGCCGTGTTAGCCGTGAATCACTGTATGATCAGTCCGCTAACAGTAGCAAACCAATGCAACAATGGGCAGCTGAGTCAGCTAGATTAGAGAAAGAATGAAGTCATGAATGAATAAATGATACTCTTTGGTTGTAGAAACTCCACTAACACAATCAATCAGAAAGAGAGGAGCCCTGGCTAGCTCATAGTGGAACACTGCAACACCAGCCCAGCCTAGCCCAGGGAACCCATGCCAGGACCTACAAGATTAATGTTAAGGACAAACCAGATGCTGGCTGCTCCTGCTCTGTTATGTCAGCTAGTGCCAGCTCTGCATGTGCTCAGTAGCCAAGCCAAAACCATAATGCAGGTTATGAGTGCCAAGTTGAGAAGGAACAGATCCTTTACCTCTAGCAGCATATTTTGAAACACCTAAACCTAGATTTCTGCATCCCAAATGGCACCCTATTCCAACTTCTTTTGGAACGTACCCCTAGATCGAAATTGTTTCCTCAGGACTAGTCTATGTGGGGGAATAGCTTTGTCCAATAACCCCACCATGGTTCATCCTCTGTTATGTCATCTACAGTGCCAGGTTTAGTCTCAGTGTGGAAGCCAACCAACACCTCCAGGTCTCATCTATCCTCCACATCACCGCTGAGCATGCAGCAACATGCCTTGTTCTGGGGAGATAATACAAGTTAAAAGTGCCAACTGCAACACCCTTTTTTTCTCTCCTTTTTCTCTGATGTTCCACTTAGCAATTGTTTAGATCCATTTTGCGGGGGATAATTTCTCCTAGCTGCTCTTTATCTTACCATGAAATTGCCACCAAGCCACCTCTGAGAGGAAAAAGAGAGAGATATAGAGAGAAAGAGAGCGTGAGAGTGCGTGAGAGAGATTTTAAGTGGGGTTAATAGCTACCATCAAGCAGGTATTTTCCAAATTAGGTTTGTCTCATCAGTTTCTATCATCATAAGACTATTATCATAAGGAAGCCTTCTTGAGTAACTAACTTCAGTCATAATTCAGTTTAGTAAAAGGGTATTAAATGATACACAGTCTATTATAAAGATCAACTTTCCAATTCTCTACTTTGGTATCAACTCAACTAAATCAAGTTTTTATTCTTTATCCACAGACCATTCCAGTTTCTTTGTCGGTATGTCTCTAATAGCTTGGCACATCTAGCCACTGGGATTTTTGCCCATTCTTCAAGGCAAAACTGCTCCAGCTCCTTCAAGTTAGATGGGTTCCGCTGGTGTACAGCAGTCTTTAAGTCATTCCACAGATTTTCAATTGGATTGAGGTCTGGCCTTTGACTAGGCCATTCCAAGACATGTAAATGTTTCCCCTTAAACCACTTGAGTGTTGCTTTAGCAGTATGCTTAGGGTCATTGTCCTGCTGGAAGGTGAACCTCCGTCCCAGTCTCAAATCTCTGGAAGACTGAAACAGGTTTCCCTCAAAAATGTCCCTGTATTTAGCGCCATCCATCATTCTTTCAATTCTGACCAGTTTCTCAGTCCCTGCCGATGAAAAACATTGGTGTTCTCTGGGTGATGAGAGGTGTTGGGTTTGCGCCAGACATAGCGCTGTCCTTGATGGCCAAAAACCTACATTTTAGCCTCATCTGACCAGAGTACCTTCTTCCATATAACTGTAAGTCGCTCTGGATAAGAGCGTCTGCTAAATGACTAAAATGTAAATGTAATGTTTGGGGAGTCTCCCACATGCCTTTTGGCGAACACCAAACGTGTTTGCTTATTTTTTTCTTTAAGCAATGGCTTCTTTCTGGCCACTCTTCCGTAAAGCCCAGCTCTGTGGCGTGTACGGCTTAAATTGGTCCTATGGACAGATATCTCCAATCTCCGCTGTGGAGCTTTGCAGCCCTCCTGTAGCTCAGTTGGTAGAGCATGGCGCTTGCAACGCCAGGGATGTGGGTTTGATTCCCACAGGGGGCCAGTATGAAAAATTTATGCACTCACTAACTGTAAGTCGCTATGGATAAGAGCGTCTGCTAAATTACTAAAATGTAAAAATGTAAATGTTATCTTTGGTCCCTTTGTTGCCTCTCTGATTAATGCCCTCCTTGCCTGGTCCGTGAGTTTTGGTGGGCGGCCCTCTCTTGGCAGGTTTGTTGTGGTGCCATATTCGTTCAATTTTTTTATAATGGATTTAATGGTGCTCCGTGGGATGTTCAAAGTTTCAGATATTGTTTTAAAACCCAACCCTGATCTGTACTTCTCCACAACGTTGTCCCTGACCTGTTTGGAGAGCTCCTTGGTCTTCATGGTGCCGCTTGCTTGGTGGTGCCCCTTGCTTAGTGGTGTTGCAGACTCTGGGGCCTTTCAGAACAGGTGTATATATACTGAGATCATGTGACAGATCATGTGACACTTAGATTGCACACAGGTGGACTTTATTTAACTAATTCTGTGACTTCTGAAGGTAATTGATTGCACCAGATCTTATTTAGGGGCTTCATAGCAAAGGAGGTGAATACATATGCACGCACCACTTTTCCGTTATTTATTTTTTCAATTTTTTTTAAACAAGTTATTTTTTTCATTTCACTTCACCAATTTGGACTATTTTGTGTATGTCCATTACATGAAATACAAAAAAAATCCATTTAAATTAAAGGTTGTAATGCAACAAAATAGGAAAATACGCCAAGGGGTATGAATACTTTTGCAAGGCACTGTATATACTGAACAAAAATATAAATGCAACATGCAACAATTTAAACGATTTTATTGAGTTACAGTTCATATAAGGAAATCAGTCAATTTAAATAAATTCATTAGGCCCTAATCGATGGACTTCACATGACTGGGCAGGGAGCCAGGCCCACCCACTGGGGAGCCAGGCCCAGCCAATCAGAATTAGTTTTTCCCCAAAAAAGGGCTTTATTACAGACATAAATACTCCTCAGTTTCATCAGCTGTACGGGTGGCTGGTCTCAGACGATCCCACAGGTGAAGAAGCCGGATGTGGAGGTTCTGGGCTGGCGTGGTTACACGTGGTCTGCGGTTGTGAGGCCGGTTGGACGTACTGCCAAATTCTCTAAAACGACGTTGGAGGCGGCTTATGGTAGAGAAATTAACATTACATTCTCTAGCAACAACTCTGGTGGACATTCCTGCAGTCAGCATGCCAATTGCACACTCCCTCAAAACTTGAGACATCTGTGGCATCGTGTTGTGTGACAAAACTGCACATTTTAGAGTGGCCTTTTATTGTCCCCAGCACAAGGTGAACCTGTGTAATGATCATGCTGTTTAATCAGCTTCTTGATAGGAGAAATGCTCACGAACAGGGATGTTAACTAATTTGTTCACAAAATTTGACAGAAATAAGCTTTTTGTGCATATGGAAAATTAATGGGATCTTTTATTTCAGCTCATGGGACATGGCACCAACACTTTACATGTTGCATTTATATTTTTGTTCAGTATATACAGTGCAATCGGAAGGTATTCAGACCCCTTGACTTTTTCGACATTATGTTGCGTTACAGCCTTAGTCTAAAATGGATTCAATCTTTTTTTTCCCTCATCAATCTACACACAATACCCCATAATGACAAACAAAACCAGGTTTTTAGAAATTGTTGCACATTTATAAAAAATAAGAAACTAAATATCCTATTTACATAAGTATTCAGACCCTTTACTCAGTAATTTGTTGAAGCATATGTGTTATTTCATAGTTTTGATGTCTTCACTATTATTCTACAATGTAGAAAATAGTAAAAATAAAGAGAAACCCTTGAATGAGTAGGTGTTCTAAAACTTTTGACCGGTAGTAAAATACACTAAAATCACCAGGAATTCAGCTAAAATTAGTTTAATTTAGGAAATCTGTTCCCAAGTATTACCACAAATATTGTTTTTTACATATGTGATCGTGGCTCAACGTAATCAATGACTGTTATTTTCAAATCCAGTCTCTTTTTGGGCTTAGTTGTGGTCAATTTGCATTGTACAAAATATAATCATTAAGTTCAGGCCCCCCGACCATCCTCTCCAAGCAGGGGAGGCAACAACAGATTACAAAAAGTATAAAGAGAGAGAAATCTTCTGTGGAAATGGATACCCACCACCAGACTTCAAACCATAAAAAGCAATAATTCACTACTTGCTTCTTCTCACTCTCTGAACTGTTTCTATTTAATCTCCTATGATTTCACTCTGTGGAAGAGAGACTCACATATCCCAACTGAATTACAGGCTGTGTTAAAACATCTCCATACCAAACAGGTAGTCAATAAAACGACTTTGGCATGCTTTCCAAGGGGAACTCTGATGTCTTAAACTCATTTCCATCTCCAAGGACCAACACTATCTTAGATACAAATGAAATTATCCGCACCTTCTAACCCAATGTGTTTTCTGTTTACTTTGCCTTCTATAGCCACATAACCAATAAGAGCCTCGCTGTGCCAGTGACAAATCAAATCTCGCCCAGGTTGGAATTGTCTCCACAGGCCTTGAATGGGAGTATGTTGGGCGGGAGGGGTAGGAGGGGTGCTGTGGTTCAAAGTTGCGTCCCTCTATTAATATACCGGTGGTGCGTGCACACTTCTGAGATACCCAATAGATGTTCAGAGAGAGAGAGAGAGGGGGAACAGAAAACAGAACCCCTAGTGTTCCTGTCAAGTTTGTGTCTGCTGCCTGCTAGCTCGCTATAGCTCTCGCGCTCTCTCTCTCTCACAATCACAATTACTTGGGCAGCTCCAGCTACAGCTGTGTATGCGTCTGGATCTTTGAAGATAACACTGCCTATTAATAAACAAAAAGTAGCAATTATTGAGCGTCAGGGAGAGTAGCGGAATAAGATTAGGTCAAGGCGAGCCGGGTCTCAGTGAAGTCTAAATTGATGAGCCGCCGCTCTCAACACAGACAGACTGGTGGAGATACTGATCCATCCTCACCAGCCACCACACAGCCATCACACTGAGCCCTGCAGACTGCAGCCAGGCAAAGCGATAAAGCTCTCCACTTAAGCACACTACAGCTCTGTGTGGGAGATGAGAGCTAGGGCCCAATGTAAATACCAGGTGGAGATAAAGACAGGATGCGTCCCAAATGACACCCTATTCCCCTTATAGTGCACTGCTTTTGACCAGGGCCCTTAGCTGTATAAAGGGAATAGAGTGCCGTTTGGGACACGGTTGAAATGTCTATATGAGATATAAATTCAAAATTCTGTTTAAAATACATATTATTGAAGCACTGAATTGACATTTTGTTTATTAATTCTCTTAATTCACTTGGCTAATAGGCTTATAGGGTTATTAGTTTCTAAAAGACACAGATTGTGTGTGAGGGCCCAATACAAATACCAGGTGAGGAGAAAGACTGGGAACAACAGTCACAACAAAGTGTGTTTACAATGGACATTTTAATGGCTTTTGTTGGCTAATAGGGCTATCGTCCAGTTTTTAGACATTAATAACACAGTATTGCACTCCTGACGATTGACAGTAATAAGAAAGTCATTGAGGGAGTTAAACACTTCTGTAGTTCTCTAAAACCAGCGGAGCTACTGTCAAACCGACAGGAGTATAGGTACTGTAGCACGGTGTATAGCTGGATGAGTGACACGGGTACAATGTCTGTATATGTATATGACGCTCTGCAGGTGCACGAGGATGCAGTCTCTCTCTCTCTCTTTCTCTCTCTCTCTCTCTCTATATATATATATATATATATATATATATATATATTTATATATAGTTGAAGTCGGAAGTTTACATACACCTTAGCCAAGTACATTTAAACTCAGTTTTTCGCAATTCCTGACATTTAATCCTAGTAAAAATTCCCTGTCTTAGGTCAGTTAAGATCACCACTAAGAATGTGAAATGTCAGAATAATAGTAGAGAGAATGATTTATTTCAGCTTTAATTTCTTTCATCACATTCTCAGTGGGTCAGAAGTTTACATACACTCAATTAGTATTTGGTAGCATTGCCTTTAAATTATTTAACTTGGGTCAAACGTTTCGGGTTGCCTTCCACAGGCTTCCCACAATAAGTTGGGTGAATTTTGGCCCATTCCTCCTGACAGCTAGTGTAACTGAGTCAGGTTTGTAGGCCTCGCACACGCTTTTGCAGTTCTGCCCACACATTTTCTATAGGATTGAGGTCAGGGCTTTGTGATGGCCACTCCAATACCATGGCTTTGTTGTCCTTAAGCCATTTTGCTACAACTTTGGAAGTATGCTTGGGGTCATTGTCCATTTGGAAGACCCATTTGCGACCAAGCTTTAACTTCCTGACTGAGGTCTTGAGATGTTGCTTCAATATATCCACATAATTTTCCTTCCTCATGATGCCATCTATTTTGTGAAGTGCACCAGTCCCTCCTGCAGCAAAGCACCCCCACAGCATGATGCTGCCATCCCCGTGCTTCACGATTGGGATGGTGTTCTTCGGCTTGCATGCTTCCCCCCTTTTCCTCCAAACATAACAATGGTCATTATGGCCAAACAGTTCTATTTTTGTTTCATCAGACCAGAGGACATTTCTCCAAAAAGTACGATCTTTGTCCCCATGTGCAGTTGCAAACGGTAGTCTGGCTTTTTTATGGCGGTTTTGGATCAGTGGCATCTTCCTTGATGAGAGGCCTTTCAGGTTATGTCGATATAGGACTAGTTTTACTGTGGATATAGATAATTGTGTACATGTTTCCTCCAGCATCCTTTGCTGTTGTTCTGGGATTGATTTGCACTTTTCGCACCAAAGTACGTTCATCTCTAGGAGACAGAACGCGTCTCCTTCCTGAGTGGTATGACTGCTGCGTGGTCCCATGGTGTTTATACTTGTGTACTATTGTTTGTACAGATGAACGTGGTACCTTCAGGCGTTTGGAAATTGCTCCCAAGGATGAACCAGATTTGTGGAGGTCTACAATTTTTCTTTTGATTTTCCCATGATGTCAAGCAAAGAGGCACTGAGATTGAAGGTAGGCCTTGAAATACATCCACAGGTACAACTCCAATTGACTCAAATTATGTGAATTAGCCTATCAGAAGCTTCTAAAGCCATGACATCATTTTCTGGAATTTTCCAAGCTGTTTAAAGGCACAGTCAACTTAGTGTATGTAAACTTCTGACGCACTGGAATTGTGATACAGTGAATTATAAGTGAAATAATCTGTCTGTAAACAATTGTTGGAAAAATGACTTGTGCCATGCACAAAGTAGATGTCCTAACCAACTTGCCAAAACTATAGTTTGTTAACAATACATTTGTGGAGTGGTTGAAAAACGAGTGTATGTAAACTTCCGACTTCAACTGTACATATATATATACATATTTTTTTCCTGTTTAAAAATGTAATGTGATATAAAAGTCAAGGAAATGTGCCATACCTCTGGTCATTACGATACCTGCCAGGGCTCTGAGTCGTGCATGCATGGGGGTGCAGCTGTCTGCCAGTTCGTGGTATTTCTCCCTCACCAAGCGGAATATTGAATCGGCAAAGTCCTGCAAGACACAATCAGTTTCTTTATTTCGATAGACATGGTTTAAAACATATTGTTTTCATATTGGTTAGATAGCCCTTGAAGAAAAAAAAGAAATGTTATTGTTAAGAGGTGTTATTTATACAGATTTGCCTAGCAAATTAAACAGTTAACCAGAGGTGTGGAGGTACTAAGAGGGTCTCAGGCGATGCTTATGACAGACATGATTACACTAGTTAAGTCAATTTCACATTTACATTTACACTAGAAAAGGTAGGAACACACAAATTGATTCAGGCAAGAGTTAACATTTAATCATAGACCTCCCCTCCCTCTGATTATCCAACGCAAATGCATAGCCACACAAAAAGTAACCGGGTGAACAAGAAGAAAACAATTTGTTGTCTAAAGCACTCTCACTAATTAATTGTTAGGGTTCGTTCTGTGACATGGGCACTAACTCTGATGAGCCATCTGTGCGTTTAGCCAAGGTATAAGTACATAACAATCTGCCTATTGAGAAACACAGTAGCCCAGTCAAGCCTAGCCACCCCTGGTCCCTCCAAAAACCTTATGTAGACCAAAGTAACCAGCCCTTCCTCAGACAGCCTACTGTAGCCAACTGAAGCCACCCATTCTATCAACTAAAATATGTTGCCAACCTGTGCACAGTTGAACATCTCAAGCCCCGTGCCTGGTGTTGAAGTGATTCTGCGTAATAATCATCAGCTTAGTCTCTCAGTCTCTCACCCTGGCCAAGTAGAGATTACAATGTGGTGTGAGAGAGAGAGAGAGAGAGAGAGCCTCTGTCCCTTAGCAGTTAGCAGCTGAAAGATTGAGCAGATAGCCGATAGCTCAGAGGACATAGACAGACACGGTGGCGACCGCTTAAAGAACAGAGAGGGAGAAAAAAAGGAAAATAAAAACGATTAGGGAGCATACTTCTCTTTATGGCCTCGTCGTGAAACGCTCCTCTCACACCTGGAGGAGGTAATGGTGACAAGGGCGTTCACAGATTGTGGCGTTCTCAGGGGAAGCTGTAAGGCGGCTGGTGGTGGTGCTACACTGTCACCAACGCACCGCCACCAACAGCCTCATGGGTAGAAAGGACCAGCATGCCCTGGGGGAGAGCTGATATCTCCCATGGTGCCTCTGCGCATACTTAGGATCTAGAATGGTGAGAAACATACCGCTCTGATCTATCACTATAAGATGACTACATAAAAATTACACTGTATGTGAGTCATTGGGTGGTTTGTAATGGAGAAAAGTAAAGTGCTTGTGACCGTTCAAGACACCAGGCAACTGGGAGGTGTCATCTTCAGGGAGAAACAGAGAGACTGTGGTGGCATGATGCTATGCTATGATTCTCTTCACCTCTGTACAGCATTATGACTTGTTGTCACACTCTAAGAACTTCAACCAAACATAGATTTCTGTTCTGGCAATGTGATAGGCCAACACGTTAAAAACAGTTGTCAAGCTCCTAGTCATAGATTAGAATGATAATGTGCTGCCAGCCAGTAAAGTATCTGAGTGGCTTGAGAGGTTAAAATCCCTGAAAACAAGCACATGTGCTGTCCTTCTTTTCTCATAGTGAGATCTAACCAACTGTAAGAATACTGTTGTTGGTTGTGGCAGAATTGGCTTCTTGTGTCTCGATTGGTCACAATTGAACTATGTCAAGTCCTTTGCCACTTTTAAGTATTTTATTCATGACATTATGGGGGTTAAAGGGAACTGGCAGGTGTTTCTGGCCCTCAGAACCAAGGTGCAATGTTCTCTAGCATCATACCCTGCTTTCTCCTCCCCTCTCTTCCTCTTCTCCTCTCCTCTCCCCCGCCTCTCCTCCACAGACCTGTGGACGTCTGATCTGATCTTGAGGTGAGACATTATGTGCCATGACTTTCAACCCAACCAGACTCAGAGCCCATTACTTTCTCTCTCACGTATAGCAATGTTGGGGAAACTACGTGACTCCCTGTATCTTTAGCTCTTGTTACCACCGCTCTCTCCCCCTCTCTCTCTGATGGTAGCTTGGTGCCACTACCACCCACCACTGCCACCCTTATGGGGGTAATGTTGCTGAATTACAGGGCCAAGAAGCTTGCTACACAGTAATGTGCACACAGAGGAGAGGAGGAGGAGGAGAGGAGGAGGAGAGGAAAGGAGGTCCACCTCCCAACTGACTACTCTCCCCCTGGATGCACAACGAGGTTAATGACTCTATCAGCTAGACCCTAGCTACTTCTCACCGTTTAAAATGTCACACATATTTGGTGGAGAAAGCCAGCAAACACCATCTAATAGCTGTACTAGCTTGTTCATATAGGGAAATGGAAACAAGGCATAGAGCTTGTTGCGAAGTTTCAATAGAGGCCATTCAATGCAACATTACCCTAGCCTCAGGTGGTGAAAAATAAAGTTTGAATGACAACTAGGTGACATTTTCCACATCATTTGGTATTCAGGACATTGGAGGCAAAGGGAAATGTTGTTCTGTTTGATTCAGAGGGACTCTGGCAGTTGAGAGGGGACAAAATGTTTATGACAATCACAGAGCAGCACTGTAGTGCCTAAACACACCGCAGTACCGTCGAGCCAAGGCAGACAGGGAAGGCTGTCAGGGAGATTGGCTGTGACAGTTGTAAAGACTCTGAGGCTATGCTGAGAGAGAGAGAGAGAGAGAGAGAGAGAGAGAGAGAGAGAGAGAGAGAGAGAGAGAGAGAGAGAGAGAGAGAGAGAGAGAGAGAGAGAGAGAGAGAGAGAGAGAGAGAGAGAGGTGCATTATAAACACACAGAGATGAGGGGACTGACTTAACTGACTGTACATGGATATATAGACTGAGAGGTGAAACGTAGGTTAAGGGGCAAATATGTTTGGGTCCCTATAGGTATATGACTATGACTATATCTGATCAACTTTCATGGCGAAAGTGTAACTGCAAATGAATAGTGACACTGAACAGTAATATGTCCAAAAAAGATTCTAAACGAACAAGGTTCCATAAAATGTGATGCAGCTGTTTAATTTTTAACATATTAGCAGAAATCTAGAATGTAAAACATGAACCAGAAGGACATAAAACATAACTAACATACAACATCTCCTGATAAAAGTCTGCTCTACTAACTAGACCTACTAATAGTTTCACATTTATCTCCAAGGTAATGTTGAATGTCATTGCCAATTCTCCTGCCGTCTCCGTCTCCCTCAGAAGTCAATATTGTGCCAGGAACACAAATGTCAATGGGGACATTTTCTCCACTGATCCCTGACCCAGAAGTCTACCCAGAAGTCTTTATCTACATCCTAAATGGCACCCTATTCCCTATACAGTGCCCTACTTTTGACCAGGGTTCATAGGGCTCTGGTCAAAGGTAGTGCACAATATAGGGAATGGGGTGTCATTTGGGACACACACTTTTCCCTCTCTGGTGGCCCGTGGGGCTGACGGGGAGAACTAAAACACACTGCATAATCTACTATGAAGGGAAAATATTGTAGGTTAATACTAAGCAGGATGTGGCAATACTGCTAGCTGATAACCATGCTCCAGGTGTCAATTGAGGATTATCTCTCTCTCTCTCTCTCTCTCTCTCTCTCTCTCTCTCTCTCTCTGTCTCTCTCTCTCTCCTCACCTTCCCACAGTGAGGTTTTCCTCTATTTAATGTACTGTAAGTGGCTTTAGGAGATAATTCTGTTACCATGGCTACGTTATATTACACTATATTTGACAACGTTAGTCGATTTCAAAGTAAAAGTCTAATACGTTGAAATTGATTTAATGTGTTTAATCCTAAAACCCTATCCACACCAAATTGAATGGGCCAACTCTAAAATAACCTACCTCTGTAGTCTTTTAAATAAAATTCATAAGCAGGGAATTCCCTATCCTAATCATCTAAAAGGACTCTGGAAAACTGCAGAGGTGGTAGAGGCAATTAACGCCGGTCATTGTGTGTGGGGTCATTAGCATGCGTTACCAGCAGCACATCCATGACGGCAGAGAGCATTGCCATCTCCAGTTCAAGAAAATACAATCATATGTCTGTACGAGTGGAGGCCATTTTTTCACCCCATGCTGTCGCTATGGCTTATCTGGTGCCACCAGAGCAGCGATGGCTGCATAAAAATGGGGCCATGTCTTATATTTCTTTATAGAGGTATTTAACAATTCATTCTCCAAGTTTTAATAGTGTCTTCCTCCTGCCTCTATTTCATCCCTCCCTCGCCCCTGCCGCCGCGTGCGAGGCTTTTGAAAGGCGATATCCGTTCAACGTGTGAAACCTTGCCTCGGGGGCTTTTTATATTCTCAAAGTGCCAGGCACCCGCAGCGAGACAGATTCTCCTCTTGTTTGTACTCTATAACCTGTATCATTAGATACTCTCTCTCTCTCTCTCCATCTTTCTCTGTCTCCATCTATCTCTCCATCTCTCTCGCTTTCTCCCTCCATCTCTCTCTCTCTCTCTCTCTCTCTCTCTCTCTCTCTCTTTCGCTCTCTCTCTTCTAAAGCTCCATCATAGACACCCAACATGCTGATATTTCTCTCCTTTCTTCTCTCGTGCTGTTGGTTCTCTTTTGTTTTGCTACAACAGACAACTTCGTGTGACAAGAGTACTGGCTGGAAGATGAACTGTGTACAGATTTGCGAGCCGTGCACTGCTGCCGTGCTGCCTCAAACCATGTCCAACCTTTCCTAGTATCATGTCCAGATGGCCATGCAGCCTGCGGAACAGATTTCTACCCCACCATGCTTTTAGCATCATCAGCAGGGTGTTGTCAGTCAGATCGGCCAGGCTGTGCCACAATCATTAGGAAAAAAGCTTTTTCCTATCAACCACATGCTTGATTTAGAGCAGGAAGAAAAGAGTGATGAAAGAGGGTAAAAAGGGAAGGAGGGTAAGGGCATGTTATCTGGTTCTGGTTCTGTGCCTCCTGTCCTTGTTTCCACGGTTGGGGGAAGAGCTGGGCTGCGACACCGCCGAGAGGTTGGCGCCGACAATGCACCTGCCGAACCCACATTGTGATTTCACATTGTTTTCTGTAAACGGCCGATCTAGAAAGATAAACTCGTAACCACATTGGGGTTAGAGCCAGAGCCAGGGCAGAGCCAGATCAAGGTGACCCATTAGGATGTGACCTACATATATATCAACCAGCTCTATAAGGATTAATTAATGATGTCAGATGTAATAAAGACAAAGGTTTAAGGGCAGCGCTGCATCCTTTACATACTCTCTCAGAGAAACAGAGAGATATACTGCGAGCAGACAGGCAAGGCAGGTGAAGAGTGTGTGTGTTTGTGTGTGATGTCAGGTTCAGGTGATCATGTCAGAAGGCGTCTCGCTGGCGTTGCCTGCCTTCCGTAAAAAGACAAAGACAGGGGGTGAAATGAACGTGTGTGGCATTTCGTTATGTTACCGTGGACATGTTTGGCCAGATGTGCTGATAGCACAGTTTCCTGACTGACAGGACAACCCTGGGAGGGACTTCACATCAGAGATAATTATGACCGTTAATGTCACGTCACACTACTATCACAGACCGCAATAAGTAGTGAAAAGTAGTGCACTAAATAGGGAATAGGGTGCCTTTTGGGACACAATTCCCCAGTTATAGCCTAGGTATAGAGCACCTCCTTGTAAAACTAACAAATACTGGCAAATATATTATATACTGCACTAGTCTGTTAAGGATGGGTAATAACTTTACCAAAATATTAATTGAGTGTACAGCACAATATTTCGATGGAGGAAGACATTAGCTTCATGGTCATTTAATGGTTGTGTTGAACACAACCCAAAATTGTGTGGGTTCAACAAAGAAAGCTAATCCACATGGCATGACCCAGTGCCTGTATTGACCTTCTGATAAACAGATGTTGGATGGGGGTCAGGTTCTGCCTAAACCTCATATCTACCCCAAACTGTGTCCATCTGAACATACAGATCCCAACAAATCCATAAACTACGACAACAAAGCTGCTATCAGGATCAACTCCATCTGGGACAGTGTCTGCATCCCAAATGGCACCCTATTCCCTATACTGTCTATGGGCCCTGATAAAAAAGTAGTCCACTAAATAGTGAATAGGGTAGGGTGCCTGTTGGGACGTAGCCACTGTTTGATGTAACCTGGCGACGACAAGAACAATCCTGACCTGGTTTAACAGAGTTTTACCTTCAGGCCTATCTTAAATCACAACCTATTCCCTATATAGTGCACTACTTTTGACCAGAGCCAAGTACTTTTAGTGCACTATAGGGAATAGGGAGAGATTTGACATGCAGAGATGGTATGTTAACAGCCATAGTACAGATCATTCTAGATAAAAAGAGAGATATGGCTGAGACGAATTAATAATGTCAGAGACGGTGTAAAACACACATCAGTGGCTTTATGCATTATGCATCAAAGGCCAGGGAGAGTGGCTCCTTCAAAAGGATAACATGACTGACCCCCAAGAGAGAGGGAGGGAGGGGGAGTGGGAAGGAGAGATGAAGGGAGGAAGACAGAGACAAAGAGGGAGGGAAGGGGAGAAAGAGGGAGGGGGATAGCAAGAGAGAGAGAGAGGGAGGGAGGGAGGGAGGGAGGGAGGGAGGGAGAGCGAGAGGGAGGGAAAGAGAGGGAGGAGGGAGAGGGGGACGGAGGGAGGAGATAGAGGGAGTAGAGAGACATCAGCGAGAGCGAGCGAGAGAGAGAAGAGAGAGAGGGGTAGAGGGTGGGGTGTGGTGCTCGAGAAAGGGAGAGAGAGGGAGAGTGTAAGGAGAACAGAGAGAGAGAGAGAGAGAGAGAGAGAGGCGGGGGAAGGGTGGGGGGGAGCAAGCTACATGAAGAGAGAGGAAATGAGAGGGCCAGTGATGGGCTGTTAACAAGCGTAACTCTCTC